CTGTATATCACTTGATGAGGGGTTATGGAGTAAGGTAGAGTCAAGACCTGCTAAGGTGAAGTTTAGAATTTGGGGGAAAATTCTTTTGGATGAAAGGAGTCTCTGGCTCTCCATCAAGTAATGAAGTATTGCTCCTCATCGCTTGCCAGGCTGATCTGGAGTCCCAACAATGCATGGAGGGCCACTTTGCCAGCCCTGCCCTAATGTCTACAATATGTTAAAACTATTTTTTAGGCCAGTACGTAAAACTTCAGCATTCCAAAGAGGGAGGTGATATAGCTGTTTCTTAATGACAGCCAACTGCCTCCCTGCTGCTTTTCCGCAGTGGTCCCCAACCTTGGGCCTCCAGAGGTTCTTGGACTTCAACTCCCATAAATCCTGGCCAGCAGAGGCGGTGATTAAGGCTTCTGAAAGTTTTAGTCCAAGAAAATCTGGAGGCCCAAGGTTGGGGACCAGTGCATTAGGGCATTGGGTAAATACTCCCTTTTGAAGTAAATGTGCCTTTCTGATCATTTGTTTAAATTTGGCCCCCACTCTTCTGAGCTTCCTTAAGCAAGTGAAAACCTGGCTTTTTGCCCAGGCCTTTGTAATATTAATTTTGTACTGAGTTTACGCTCGCCCATGGTTTGCCAAATGGGTTTTTGTTTTTATATGTTCATTTCTTTAAAAAAAAGTTGTACAGTATATTTTTGTTATTTCCTGGAAGTGGCTTGTCTACTAAGTGGGAGAGGTACAAGTTTAAATAATAATAAATGAATAAATAATGTTGGAAATTCTCCTGTTTTTTCAGAGTACCGATTTGACTTTACTGTTATTATTAAGAATCCTAATTTTTGGCAATATGTATGACTTGTCCTGTTTTGTGTTTTTCTTGCAACCAGCATAAAGCAGTGGATCCAGTCATTAAAGCTGTCAAAAAAATTTGTTACACATTGGATGAGGTAGAGACTCCTGCAATTACAATGTGTGTTAAAAAGCTAAGAAGAGCAGTTAATCTTCCAAGGAATAAGAGTCCCGAGGTAATTAATTCAATCATGTTTCCTGCTGTATACATATGAAGCATAATATATATTGGCAACATTCCCTCCCTCCCAAAAATTCCTAGCAGGTAAGTTAAAAACAATAGAAACCAATGCTGGATAAGACCAAAGGCCCCTCTAGCCCATGCTGTTGCTGCAGTAACCAGTTGCCGGTCTTTGATAGAGGTGGGAAAGTATTGTCTGTGTGCTGTGTATATCCCCCGCTGGGGCCCAAATGTGTGCCCTCTTACAGTGCAATGGGAAGCATGATCCTTTGTAACCACAATTTTTAAAAAGTACTCTTCTGACCTCTAAGAGATAGATGTGGGAGGCAGTTGTGCCATATATAAGGGCTTCAGACACTCCTGTCCCCCGCAGCACCCAACATCATTGTAAATTAAGCTTTTTGGTCATTACGAGTACTCAGTGTGCAGCTGATAATGTCTACTCTGATTTCTTAACTTGGGGCAATTTGCCTTCCAAAGCTACACTGTTTATGTTCCACCAGCATTACAAGGAAAGAGGATTTGGGCCAGAGTATTCTTAAGTTAGTTTCAAAAATGCTTGTATACCTGAGAAACATGGAACTGTATTTCATGCATTTGTTTAAATAAACACTAAATTCTTACTTTTCTTATTCCACTCCTTGTTGCACAGGTATCTTCTGATGATATTAACAAGAACGTAGTGAGTAAGTACCTAGCCCAGTCTTCTTTTGTCTTTAATGTTTTTTAATTATTGCTTTCCCAGAAAAAAAGTAACAATAATCTTATATAGGTTCATTGCAACTGGAAAATCCTTTGCAAGTGAGCATAGATCAGCTGACCTCAGCTATCTATGCTCTTCTTCAGCTCCACCTGAACATATGCAACAAGTCTTCCTTAAACACTCCAGAGAGTAAGAGAAGCACAAAAGAAGCAGGGACTGCAACAGAGCACCTCCAATTCACAATATTTGCTGTCCATGGAATTCTTAGTAGCTGGGTCTCAGTGTGAGTAATTAAAGTTAAATTTGCTCTCCCCCCACCCCCATCAATATATGTATGTCATAACGTTTTGATTCATTATACTGTTTCTCTTTCCAGTTATGAAAAATACTATTTAGTTTGCTCTCTGACTCACAATGGCAGAGATCTGTTTAAACCTGTCCAGTCCAAGAAAGTTGGCACATACAAGAATTTCTTCTACTTGATTAAATGGGATGAACTGTAAGTGGTTTTTTTTTTAAAGTTCTGTCTGATTCCTGAAAGTAATCTGATTCTTTTGGTAGTCTGAGTCAAATCCAAAGGATTGTTGTTATTATTTCCATCAAAGCATATCATTAAGCATATCTGTTGCTTATATTTTCTTTGAATGCCTCATTTCTTTTTCTGTAAACAGTGCCATGATGTCATTTACCAAAAAGCTCTACTTTTGTCTCATCTGTCCACAGTATGTTCTCCTAGAAGGATTGTGGTTTTGTCACATAAGTTTTGGCATACTCTAGTCTTGCTTTTTTTATGCCTTTGTGTGAGCAGTGGTGTCCTCCTGGGTCTCCTCCTATAGCATCTCTTTTCATTCAGATGGCAACAGATAGTGTGAGCTGATACTGTTGTACCCTGTGACTGCAGATCAGCTTGAATTTGTTGGGAAGTTAATCTGGGTTCTGTATCCACCATTTGAACAACCCTTCTTTGTAACTGTTCAGTAATTTTGCTCTTCTGTCTACATCCAGGGAGGTTAGCTACAGTGCCATGGGCTGTAAAACTCTTGATAATATTGTGCACAGTGGACACAGGAACATTCAGCTCTCTGGAGATGGACTTGTAGCCTTGAGATTGTTGATGTTTTACCATTTTTTTCTCTCAAATCCACAAACAACTCTTTACACTCCATTCTTTTCTCCGTGCTCAGTGTCACACACAGCACAAAGATTGAGTCAACTTTTCTCCATCTTAACTGGTTGCAAGTGTGATTACTATATTGCCCACACCTCTTACTTGTGACAGTTGTGTCTAAATACAAATTAAAGGAGCATCACATGCTTGAAAAGCAATTATTTCTTACAATTTGAACAGGGTGCCAATAATTTTGGCCAGTGCATTTTTGGGTTTCTGTGTGGGATTGTATCAGATTTGACTTTTCTTCTGTTTTTTTGTGTTGTTCCAACGCAAACCAAAGAAATGAGCATGTGAGTACCAAAACATTTGCAACTGCAACAATTTTCTGAGAGAAGGGTTGCATTTTCTGACAGAATTGCAAGGGTGCCAATATTTTTGGCCATGACTGTAGTTAAGTGTGCTGCTGGTTTAAATAAAAATGTGTTCTGTCATAAAAAAATCTGGAGGCACGATTTTGGAGAAATGTATAGTAGACTGGAATATGATTTTCTTGGTTTCTGTTATTTTAAAAACATATTAGTGTACTTTGGGTCAGTCAATAAAATAAATGCTATTGCTCATATGAATAAGTGCAGAGTATCTTGTACAGAAGTTCTGACTCCTGTTTGCTTTCTACTTGGCTGTCAGATCAGGAGTGGGCCTTGTAACAGCATACTTGCTTCCACATTGGTTTCTTCATTGGCTTACACAATCCTTTTCCCATTTCTCTCACTGTAGTTAGAAATTATTGACTAAAAATAAAGCATGCATGTTATTTGAACACAGCATTTCCTAGCTACCTACTTTGTCCTGCCCTCTGCCAAAACAGAATCTTGACTGCCAGAATGGAAATAACCATTATGGCCTGCTAGCCTACTCTATCTATGGTCTCAGGCCATAGGCAGAGAAATCAGGCTAGCCAGCCAGAATAGCTCTCACTGCATTAAACCTTGGATCCCAGTAAATGGTTGATACATATTATTTCTTCTCTTGTCTTGGTGTATTTCCTTTGTCACTAATGGTGATAGATGATGTATGGAATATTATTTGGTCAGTACAGTGGACCCTCTACTTAAGGAATTAATCCGTATTGGAATGGTGGCTGCAAGTCGAAAAGTCTGTAAATCGAATCTCCATTGACCTACAATGCACTGAAAACTGATTAATCCCATAACCAGTGGTTTTTATTCTATTTTTATTCCATTTTGGTTTTTTTCTGGTCTGTAAGTCGATTCTGTGGCTGCAAGTCGAATCTAAATTTTGCAGCCAGAGAAGTCTGTAACTCGAAAAGTCTGTAAGTCGAGCCGTCTGTAAGTCGAGGGTCCACTGTATTAGAGGATGTTTGAAGTAGAGTAAGGATTAATAAAAATTGCAATAAAAATGCATTCAATTGGCATTGGAGCATTGTACTAATACATGGTGTTTGAACAAGTGAAAATGTTCATATTAATTTCTTTGCACACTCAAATTGAGTTTATAATGAATATCTAACTATCCTGTTTCCTTATTTTACAGAATAATTTTCCCTATCCAGATCTCTCAGTTGCCATTAGAATCTATTTTATGCCTTACTCTCTTTGGAATATTAAATCAAAATAGTGGAAGTTCACCTGATTCAAATAAGCAGCGAAAAGGCCCAGAGATGTTGGGTCAAGTTTCCTTACCTCTTTTTGATTTTAGACGGTAAGTGTTCAGAAAGAGTTTTTATGGGTGAATAATATTGGGGGCATATCCAGCATTACTACGCAAACTCTAGTATGACAGTCAAATTAAGTTTGTCAGTTTGAAAGAGAAATTCTTATGGAATGTGTAAGTGAAATTCTAGACTCCTGCCTATTCTGAGTAATTATTGAAAAAGTCTAAATGGTATTTGTCAAGGTTCCCTGAGTCAGGGAGGCCCACATTGACCACTTAGCTATACTACCCCAGTTGTCTTGATATGAGTTAAGTCCAGGAAGGCCAAGTGTGCTGATGGCTGGGGGAATCTTCCTGCCTGGCACCCTCCTAACACCTTGGTGCCAACCTGACTAAGCAGTGGCTCCAGGGAGTCACCAACCCTACAAGGTAGGAATGCTACACACAGGCTCCTCCTAGTAGATGGGCAAGGCAAAGCCTGGTATTAAGAACCGCCAATCCTCTTAACTCAAAAGAATCAACAACTGCAAAAATCTTATATTTTACTAAAGATGATGAAAAAAGTCAAAGGGAGCAACACTTCAAAAATGGTTTCTACAGACAGAAAAAATCAGAGGCTGCGGAAGAAATAAGCATTCAAAAGGTTGAGGCAAGAGCAATTACAGAACAAACCTATAAGAAAGCTGGCTGATCTGTTCTAATATGTATATCCTAGCACAGCTTTAAAGCAGAGTGTGCTGCTTATATACCACTACATAGCACTTAAAGCATTCTCTAGATGGTTTACAATTTACTTGTGTGGGCTACATGATGCCTCCCAGTGAGCTGGGTACTTAAATTTACCAATGTTGGAAGGATGGAAGTCAAAGTCAACCCTGAACTGGCTAGCAGAGTCCATCAGGATTGAACTCTAGTCATGAGCAGAGTCTTGACTGAAGTACTACAATTTAACCACTGTGCCATAAGGCTGTTCTTTTCTTTAGCATAGTTTCAGAGAATAAGCGAGGTTTGTGTCTAATGAGCACAGTGTTTTCCTAAGAGATAAGCTAAGTATGCCTCCATTTTTATACCCAAAGTTCCAACTGCCAGACTCTTCCAGAATATCTGCCTTTCAGGTGTCAAATTCCCCCAAATTTTCATGAAGAAGAGTGTAATTTCTTCCTGCTCTCCTCACTCAGTTGAATTAACTCTATACCAATGAATGAGCTTGGTTTGGCCTAGAAGTTCTTTCTCACAGCGATAAGCACAGATGTTGCTGCCTTCCAATTCCCAGTGTGCACTTCTCACCCCTTCTTTCAAATTGAGGCAAAACCTCAATTTCCAGAAGAGCAACAGAGTCCATGATCCCTCATTTCCCCAGTCTCTTGACAATATTGTATAGGGCTTCAGTAGGATATTAGTATCCTTGGGAGTATCAGATTGGCTGACTTTCTTTTCATGGGTTTCAGTTCATATTTGTGACATATTAGGGGATAGAAATGTGTCATCTTTTAAAAGGATTATATATATACCTCAGTGGAAATATAAAATAATAACTTCTTCAGCATGGCCTCTGTGAATGCACACAAAAGGGTTAAATCAGTGCCTGTGCTGGACCTCTTGGGATCTTCTCAAGCTTTGAATAGAAAAGTAACAAGTTAGATTGCCCCTAATGCGCATGCTGTGCCCGCCAAAGCCTCAGTTGCATTTTTCCACCGAGCGAATTGGAACCTCTCGCATCGAGCTTGCTATATTTTCTGCTTCTTAGTGATTTTTACGTTTTTTTCAAACACGGACTAATCTCTGACTACTCTAAATTCTATTGCCCCGACGGGAACCGCTTTTGGACTTTTCTCTTGTTGCTTCTCCCGTCTAACTTGGTTGCTTGGACTCTTGCCACCTTTCGCGCCTCAGCGCGAACATTAAAGTAAGACTATTCCTTCCCTTACTAGCTTATGTCCCCCTCAGGACCCTTCAGCCGCTGCGTTGTCTGCTCTAGAAAGCTACCCTTTCATGATGGGCATGATCGCTGCCTTTTTTGCTTAGGAGAAGCCCATTTGACTTAATCCTGCAGACATTGCAAAAAATTTACTAAAGCGGCTTTGAAGGCAAGGAAGTTAAGGCTCAGATACCATCTCTGGGATTCCACTCTAACCTCTTCCAAGCCCGCAGAAATGGAGATTCCCTCACCTTCTGCTACTCCCCTAGAGGAAACCAATGTCTCACCCCAGCCATCTGTTAGTAAGGCTTTGGGAAAACAGTGTAAAAAGTCTGCACCTCCAAAGAAATCCTCTTCAGGGTCGAAATCCACTGCAGCTTCCTCTTCAAAACCTGTGAAGCAAGCAAAGGACAAGGCTGCAGACAAGTCTAAGGAACACCTTAAACAATTACCACCAGTCTCTGTCTCACTACCTTCCTCTATTCTTGAGGATTCCTCCAGAGACAGAGAATCTTTGTCGGAGGCAGCCCCATTGCTCCCTCCTCGATAAGCTGAGCCAATTCCATCAGTGGGCTTCCCTTCACCGACGCTGAGACAGCTTGCAAAAGCTACCACAGGCTTGGTTTCTGCCCCTCATAGCCCTGTTTCAACCGGGCGAGCGTCTTTGGTTCCATCGGTGTCGTCGGTTGTTTCAAAACTGAGATCTCTTCCTCGAAAGCGAACAGCTAAGACTAAGCATGTTTCCCCAATTCGACACCGACAATCTCGACGTCGACACCGAGATCGATCCGATAGCTCTGAAGACAGTGAACCCAGGTGCAAGAAGCACCGCCATCGACGTCGAAAACGCTATTCCTCCTCAGACTCTTCTTCAACATCAACTGATTGACATCAAAGACAGAAGAGAGCAAAATACATCTACGTCTCTTCTTCTTCTTCGACATCGACATCACCTCAAAGGCATCGACACCGGAAACGGGTCAACACCAAGGCATCTTCAAAGAAGCGCTCGACATTGAGGATGGCTCCCTATTCGCAGCAAACTGAGTCCTCATTGCACGACATCGACAAAGGTTCCAGTAAAACGGCTCAGCAGGTGTCACCGTCAGATCCAGATGACATGTTCTCAGTTGACTCTTCAGAGTCTGAACAAGACATCTCTCATCAGCCAAGTCAAGAGGAACAACAGAGGGAGAACTAGCTGAATCTGATACGGCTGACAATCATGCTTCTTCCCCGTCGAAAGACTTTTCTTCGTATACCCAGATGCTATCTAGACTAGCCAAAACGCTCAAGTTAGAAGTGGACCAGCCTGCTCCACCAGCAGAGGACCTTATTTTTGGAGATAAACCAGGAAAGGTCCTCTCCACTCAGCCTTACCTTTATTCCAGCCATCTTGGACCTCATTAAGGAGTTTTGGGAACAACCTTCCACATCTACTCCTATTTCACGACACACAGAAAATTTCTATAAAGTTCATGGAAATGATACCAATTTCCTACTTAAACATCCAGTTCCTAATTCCCTCATAGTGGAAAACCAATGGGAAAATCTCACGTCACCCCTACCAATAGGGAAGGCAGGAAATTAGAAGTCCTGGGACGAAAGATCTACTCTTTGATCTCCTTCCTGTTAAGAGTGACTAACTACCAGACTGCTCTAGGAGCCTATCAAAAACAGCTGTGGCTCAGAATACTGCCTGGTCTGAAGATGCTCCCTGAAGATGTTCTCCAGGGTTTCTTAAATACATATGAAGAAGCTCAAACAGTTTCCAATCACCAGAGACTTTCAACCAGGCATGCAGCGGAGGCTGCTGCGATGGTACTCATGTCAGCAGTTACCCTACACAGACATGCTTGGCTACGAGCTGCCAACATTCTGGAGGACGTTAAGACAAGAGTGGAGAACCTTCCCTTTGACTCTAAGGGCCTTTTCAACAAAAAAACAGATGGTCATCTCGAAGAGCTCCATAAGGCAAAGAAACCAGCAAAGTCGTACTCCATCCAACCACAAACTAGGTATAACAGATACCAATGGCGCAAGCCATATACCCAATATTCGCAGCCTTCTCAACAATACAAACCTTTCAAGAACCTACCTCAACATAGGTCTTCACAGGCATCTTCCTCAGCTTCCAACTGTCGTCCTCAGTCATCTTAGCATAGGCAGTCCTACAAGCCTCCTACCAAAAAATCCAAACAGTACCTTTGATTCAGTCACCAGACCGTTCGGAAAACATTTCACAACAAGACTACAACCTTTTCTTCCAAATTGGATAACCATCACAAAAGACTCATGGGTCTTAAAAATTATACAATTCAGCTACCAGCTGGAATTTATAGAATATCCTCCTCTAGGGCAGGTAAAACATACATCATTTGATCCTGCTCTAGAAGAAGAGGTTCTTTCTCTTCTAAAGAAAAAAGCTATTCAAAAGGTTCCTTCAAAAGATATCAGAAACGGGTTCTACTCCCGATACTTTGCCGTCCCAAAGAAACGAGGGGGAATCAGATCCATTCTGGACCTAAGGACTTTAAACACTTACCTCCATCCAAAACGTTTCTGAATGGTCACTCTGGACTCTATAATCCACCTACTGAAGAAAAACAATTGGTTTGTGGTCATAGCTGTGAAAGCTGCATACTTTCACGTGACTGTACATCCCAAACACCGAAAATACCTCCGGTTCATTTTTCAAGAAAAGATTTACCAGTTTTTGGCCCTCCCCTTCGGACTTTCAACAGCGTCAAGGACATTCACCAAGTGCATGGCACCTGTGGCCACTTACCTATGTCAACAAAGAATTCAAGTCTACCCTTATATAGACGACTGGCTAGTCGTGTTCCCATCAAGGCACCAGGCTCTGAAAGACACAAAGTTCATTTTTCATGTCCTCAAAAACCTCAGACTGTCGGTCAACTTAAAAAAAGTCACATCTCATCCCAGCACAGGTGGCGGATTACATAGGGGCTCGAATAGACGCCACCAAGGGTCGGATCTTCCTACCTCCAGAAAGAATAAGAAAAATACAGAAGGCCATAAGAAAGTTCCAACCAAGGTTGTCCTTTTCTGCCAAACATGCTCAGCACCTGTTGGGTCTCATGGCATCTACAACCCCGGCACTGGCACATGCCCGCCTAAAGATGAGATCTCTTCAGTGCTGGTTCCTAGCCCTATTCGACCCCATGAAAGACCATCAAAGAAAGCGCCTTCGTGGCGCAGTGGTTATACTGCTGTACTGCAGCCAAAACTGCTCACGACCTGGGGTTCGATCCCAGGTAGCCGGCTCAAGGTTGACTCAGCCTTCTATCCTTCCGAGGTTGGTAAAATGAGTACCCAGCTCGCTGGGGGGCCAATGTGTAGCCTGCATAATTAACTTGTAAACCGCACAGAGAGTGCTTGAAGCACTATGGGGCGGTATATAAGGAGCACACTTTGATTTGCTTCGTGTAACACCAGAGTTGGCTCAGCAACTTCAATGGTGGATTTTCCCCTCGTCTACTGGTGGGACTCCCCTTCCAGCCTCTTCAACTCACCAAGTAACAACAGATGTGAGCCCAACAGGCTGGGGGGCACATTGTGCACAATACCAAGTACATGCCCTCTCCACATCTCTCTCCACATCAACCATCTAGATATCTTGGCAGTCTTGAAGGCATTCAAGGCTTTTCTTCCATTAATATATAGTCGTGGTGTGCAAGTAGTTACCGACAACACCACAGCCATGCATTGTATAAACAAACAAGGAGGAACACGCTCACGATCTCTTCTCTATCTGACCATCTCTGGGAATGGTGCTACCAGCACCACATCTTTCTGGTGGCGCTTCACATCTCCACATCGGAGAATGTGCTGGCAGACAAATTGAGCAGAATGACGAACCAGACCCACGAATGGGAGCTGAACGACAGAGTCTTTGCATCCCTATGTCACCGGTGGGGAATGCCTCAGATTGACATGTTTGCCACTCAGCACAACAAGAAATGCCACCTGTATGCCTCAAGAGCAGGTTACGGACTGAACTCCCTCAGGGATGCCTTCATGATATTGTGGACCTTCAGCTTGGTATACATGTTCCCACCGATTCCTCTGGTGCAAAGAACTTTGATAAGAGCACGCCAGATGCGGACCAAAGCGATACTCATCACCCCTTACTGGCCCCGTCAGGCTTGGTTCACAACCCCTTTGATGATGTCTCACGACTTCATCAGGCTTCCTCTTCTTCCAGACTTTCTCACCAGAAACTCGGGCAAGATTTATCACCCGGATGTGGAGACCATGTACCTGATGACGTGGAGGATCTCCCCGAGATCAAGGAGATTCTAGATAAAGCCAGGAAGCCTTCCACCTCCCTATTGTACAGCTACAAGTGGAAGAGCTTTTTGAAATTCCCCAAGGATAGAGACCTAGACCAGTTTCTCTGTCTACTTTGCTTCAATACCTTAACTATCTGTTTGACCTCAGTCTCACCATTTCTACCATAAAGGTTTACATTGCTGCAGTTTTGTCCTTCCAAGCATGAGGTTCGACTTCATCGAGACTCTTTTCTCACCCTACTTTGAAGGCCTTTTTAAAAGGGCTCACTAATATCCGGCCTCCAATCAAACCACCGCTTCCTCAGTGGTCTCTTCAACTTGTTTTACACGCCCTCATGCGTCCACCGTTCAAACCTATGGCCACATGTGATGTACGCCTACTGTCTTTTAAAACTCTGTTTTTAGTGGCGATCACATCAGCCAGAAGGGCGAGTGAGCTTGCTGTCCTGAGATTGGACTAACCGTTTTTGCAGTTTTTTAAAGACAAGGTGATTCTACATCCTGATATGTCATTCCTACCCAAGGTAGTTACAGACTTCCATCTCAACCAGCCTTTAACGCTACCTACTCTCTTCTCTGATCCTGTCACCGATACTGAGCGCATGCTCCACACTCTGGATGTGAGAAGGGCCTTAGCCTTTTATGTTTCCTGAAATAAAGACTTTAGGTTATCTAATAGACTTTTTCTCTGTTTTTATGGTCCAAAGAAGGGACTTCCTGCATCTTCAACTTCACTTTCCATATGGCTTGTCTCAACTATCACATTAGCTTATGAACTCCAACTTAAAGCGGCACCTGAAGGCCTTCGAGCTCACTCCACCAGAGCCATGGCTTCTTCTATAGCCCTCCTGACAACTGCAGGACTGCTACCTGGTCTAACGTCTCCACCTTCATCACCCACTACAGACTAGACCTGAGGGCTAAGAGAGAGACGAGTTTCGGGACAGCGGTGTTGCCGTCTGTACCTCAGTGATGGCCCTCCAACCGGTGAGTGAGCGTGCTAGTCAACCCTTTTGTGTGCATTCACAGAGGCCACACTGAAGAAAGACAGGTTACTTACCTGTAACCATGGTTCTTCAAGTGGACCTCTGAATTCACACAATCCCACCCAGCCTCCCCACTATCTGTCACTAAGTCTAGCTCATGCTCAGGCTCTTGTGGCGGATAAATGGAACTGAGGCTTTGGCGGGCGGAGCATGCGCATTAGGGGCAATCTAACTTGTTACTTTTCTATTCAAAGCTCGAGAAGATTCCGAGAGGCCCAGCACAGGTGCTGATTTAACCCTTTTGTGTGAATTCACAGAGGTCCACTTGAAGAACCATGGTTACAGGTAAGTAACCTGTCTTTTCAACTTTTAAAAATATATGTACTGGAGTTTAATAGAAATATTTCACAAAGACAGCTTATTTTCTATCAAGGAAAGAATATAAACTTTAGAGATGTTGTGGTTAAGTTATTTTTAAAACAATGATCCATGTTTGAGAAAGCAAAGCTGTTGAATGAGCATTTGAAAGACAGTAGTAGTGTTTATGTAGTGCTTTTAGTGAGACTTAATCCCAGTTGGTTGCATGGCCATTGGCTAGGAATATTTACTTACTTATTTAAAACATGTATAGCCTGCCTGTATCTCAGGATCTCAGGGTGGATTACAGAACCATATAGAACAATTCAAAAACATATAATCTTTAAACAATTTAAAAACAATTTAAAACATACAAAATTGGAACATTAAAATATGCATAGGCCATGATCCTTAACTCCCAAAAGCATCTAATAAATATGTTTATTACTTATTTGGTGCCAAAATGATTGTAATGTAACACATCTGGAGAGGATCAGGTCAAGGAAAGTTACATTAGATATTCTGCTGTGTATTCCATAGCATACTGTTTTCCCCCTTTAAATTGTACTCAGTAGAAGTTGCTAAAATTGCTTCCTCATATGGAAGTAACAAGTATCATCCTTGTATGCAGATTGTCATCACCTTTTATTTGAGAAGTCTTGCCTTTCAGACTCTGTTGTTCATTCTTTCCTGTTGAAGCATGCAAATAAAATTGTATTCTTCTTGGTTTATGTTCTTAGAATGTTGACTTGTGGAACTAAACTTTTGCATCTTTGGACACCTTCCACAAACATTGTTTCTGGAGTGGGCCATAAAAAGGGAAATCTGATGGAAAGAATAGTGTTGCAGGTAAAGCTGTTTGCTTCTTAAATTATTTAAAAAGCATGTACGTGAATTCTGAGAGTAATCATGAATGGTCTCTGTTCCAGTGATACATGCCTTGTTCATTTATGGCATTATGAGCATACACGTACAGGCATACCTCGGTTTACGAGTTTAATGCGTTCTACAGGACATTACATAATGTGGAAAATTCATAAACCAAAACTCGGATTGCCATAGGAATGGGGGCAGCGCTACAAACCTCCAGGCACAATGCATCCTGGGGAAACTTTCTTTGTACTTCAAAACAACAATAACAACAACTGTAAATCAAGGCATTATTTTCAATAGATTTTGCTTCGTAAACTGAAAATTACGTTAACCGAGGCATTCGTAAACCGAGGTACCACTGTAGTTATTTTTCGGAGTCTTTCCCAAGGCAGTGTGGGAAATATTCCTGCCCCTTTTCTGTGCCTATTTTGTTCTACCTACATAGTCTCAGTCTAGAGTGTCAAAGCCAGTTGCATGATAATGCAGAGACATAGGAATTTATTTGTTGCTCGACTGTTGTTCAGGCATAAAGCTATTTTGGAATACTTTTGTTCAAAGGATTGACATGTTACTTATTAAAAAACATTGTGCACAGGCATGTACTGTGCATAAAGGTATGTATACAGATAATTTTATCTTCCTCAATAAACACACTGGGAAAGAATTGCTGGGATCAGCTTTTCAGCATGCTCTGATGAAGAAATCTTCCACTGGCTCAATGAAGACAGAAGCAACAGTAGGGGAAAGGGGCCTTGGAATGTTCACTTCTGGAATTGAACCAAAATTGTCCCCTTCAGTGTGCCCATGTGAGTGCTGTGCTGCCAGTTGCGTGTGCGCACAAGCATGCGCCCGCACAAGCACCGTGCCACCATTTGTACATGAGCACAGATGTGCTTGTGTGCAAGAGAGAGTGCTCGTTCACACATGTGCATGAGTGCGGGGGGTGCCCCGCCTTCCCTAGCCAGTCCATGGGGTGAAAAAGGTTGGGGACCCCTGCTAAATCTTCCTGTTGACTCACTGCCCTGTGCCCCTGATTGTGGCAATGTTTTCTTACATCTTACTGCATGAGTAGTGGTTATATGTGTGAAAAGGGGACTGAAATTGGATGGGGAGAGAATCTGCACACCATTCATGTAATAATTTGGTTCTGTATTAAGTCATTTTTCAACTTTTTCAATCAGGTGGACTTCCCTACTTTGCCATTTGATATTATATACAAAGCTCCTCAAGCTGCAGACAGTTCTACATACAATTCCATGGAAACATTGGAAAAGGATTCAAGAGAGCGTCTTCTTTCCATTCTTTCCAAAGAAGGTACACTTGGGTAAGTTCTACTGAATTAACAGTAGTGCCTTCTCTTTGTAAATAATTAATATATGATCACTTTTAAAAATTAAATATATATTTGAGCATACGAAGTTTTCTGCAGAAGTATATTGTTAGATAAGAGGAATTATTTCTTCTGAATCTCACTATCTAAACCTTTTCTTCTTTGGTTATGATACTACAGTGGGGTCTTGACTTAAGAACGGCTTGAGTTAAGAACATTTTGACTTAAGAACCACTCTCATAGGAAAATATTGACTTGACTTAAGTACTTAGATTTGAGTTAAGAACTGAAAAAAAACCACGTGGGAGGCAGGGAGACTGCAAAATGTGAACTTTCAGTTAACTGTTGGCCAGTGAAAAGGGTGCCTGTCTGCTTCCTCACTCCTCCCAGCGTTTAGAGAGAGGATTGGGAGACAGTCTTCGGACTGCCTGGTACTGTACTGCCTGGACTGTATTTTCCCTGCCTTCCCTGAACCTTTCTTAACCTAAGAAAAAAAGAAACACAATATTCCCCCTCTAGTGGTCGAAGGCAGAATAGCAGCTTCCCATTAGTTTCTATGGACGGGAAAGAGCAGATACGGATCAAATGGTTTTCAATGCATTCCTATGGGAAATGCAGATTTGACCTGAGAACTTTTTGACTTGAGAACCGCCTTCCAATACGGATTAAGTTCTCAAGTCAAGACCCCACTGTATTAAAAAACTGAATTTCTGCAGCAAACACATTAGTATATAAAGTATGCAATCCACATGAAGATTATAGCGAACTGCATGGGAACTTGCTCGTTACCATCCTCACTGAGTGAAATAGCAAAAAGCTAGAAGGATTATTAACTCATAATTGAAAGAGTTGCTTTCTGCCACTTTGAACAAAGGGATGGTTGACCTTTCCTTAATGTTTTTATAGATCATGATGACCCTAATTAGACAGATTGCAATCATTCCTTCTGTAAGGAAGTTGATGGAAATGTGATTATATTGTATAGCTTGAAGCATTGCAGGATAGAATATTTTCCTCTGTTCAGTGCGGCCTGGTTTTGTAATGGAGAATCATTTCTAGGAGCTGCGGTTGGATAACAGGAGAAACAGGTGGGAATAGTATACATACCGTATTTTTTGCTCCATAAGATGCAGTTCTCCATAAGATACACCTCATTTTTAGGGGAGGAAAACAGGAAAAAATATTCTGGCAATTTCAGCCCTCTGGGCCCGTGGGGGTGGAGGTGGGGGGAGCCTCCAAAGGGTCAGAGAGTGCCTTCCATGACCCTTCAGAGGCTCCCTGCCCCCCCCGCAGGGCCGGCGGGGGTGAAATCGCCAGTTTCCAGGATCCTTCGGAGGCTTTCCAAGCCTCAGAAGGGTCCTGGAAGGTCTCAATTTCACCCCCGCTGGCCACACAAGGGGGTGGGGGTGGGAGGAGTCTCCGAAGGGTCCTGGAAGGCATTCTCGGACCCTTCTGAGGCTCCCCCCACCATCCTCCCACTGGGTCCTGGGGAGCGCTGTTTTACAGCATTTGCTCCATAACATGCAGACACTTTCTTCCCACTTTTTTTTTGGGGGGGGAAGTGCGTCTTATAGAGCGAAAAATACGGTATAATGCTGCAAGCTGACATTTAATAATTTTTTTTGCTTAATTTTTTAAAACTACCCTTGAGTTACAGATTTTTAGGTTTCCTTACATCATAAAAATAGCATAAACAGTTTGTAAAGCCAGCTCCTCCTCTAATAAAACCAAAGTTTAGCAGGGACAGGGAACAAGATATATCAGTGACTCAAAACCTGGAAAAATAGATCTTCACTTCATGGTAAAAAGATAGCCTCATTTAGATACCAGTCAGGCATCCTGGAGAAGCACGATCTATAGGCAGAGCTTCTCAGCTGAGAAGGACCTCTTTCTGCATGTTATTTGCTTTACTTCAGGTAGTAGAGACATCTGGAGGAAAGTGATCAAAAGCAGATCTTAAAGTCTAGGAATGTTGCCTTCCTTTCAGTATCCATTTTCCCATTATTTTATCCTTCTAAATGGGAGGCGCCAGGTTCTGAACCTGAGACTATCTGTTCGCAATTCATGTGTTCTACATACCTAGCTGTGGTCTCTGTCCCAGATAATACTGGAACTCTCTGAACACTTGCCTCCAATTTTAGTTTGCCAGTTTCTCCACAAAGGTACCATATTATACAATAGTAAAAGTTGGTGAGAGACCCAGGAGAACTAGCAGGTTCTCATTTCTTCTGCCTTTCTATGGGAAAACAACAACAACAAAACACCGTGCCAAAGGAACAGTGGTACAGACTTGAAAACAGACTGAAATGGATCCAGGCATTCATTCTCTTCTAGAGTGGCATGACCACCATGTGGTCACTCACCTTGCCTAAGAATGGAATACAGTGGTGCCTCGGTTAACGATTTTAATTGGTGCAAAAAAAAATCGCTATGGGAAAACATCGCTAAGCGAAACACATTTTCCCATAGAGATGCATTGAAAACCGGATAATCCGTTCCAATAGGAACAGATTGCTGTCCTTAAGCGAAAATCGCCATAGGAAACATTGCTAAGCAATACAATGTTTCCCCCATTGGAATGCATTGAAGCCTATTCAATGCATTTCAATGGTTTTGCGATGTCCGTTTTTGCAATTTTAAAAGTGTCTTAAAATGTTCAAAAACTGTTTTAAATGCTTGGAATCATTAGTGCACCTTCTAAAACGTGTGCAAACTTAATTTGGCTTTGTTCTGACTCTTCGTTAATTTTTGGTGAATTTTTTCCCCACATTGAAATGCATTGAACCCAAGTTTGACAGCTGTCAAACGGGCACTTCAATGCATTCCAATGGGGAGGAAAAAATTCACCAAAAATTAACGAAGACTCAGAAACTGTTTTAAATGCTTGGATTCGTTAGAGCACCTTGTAAACATGTGCAGACTTAATTTGGCTTTGTTCTGACTCTTCGTTAATTTTTGAATTTCCCTCCCCCCCATTGAAATGCATTGAACCTAAGTTTGACAGCTGTCAAACTTAGGTTCAATGCATTTCA